GAATAACTGCGCGAATCTCACACTTCGCGGTTTTAGTAATCGGGAGCTCCATTTCTAACGGCAACCGTGCCAAGACTGAGCGTCCTAGCTACGTGCGCGCATGCTTGGTGGTATTGGGGGGAGTGGGGGAAGCAACGAATGCAACAGGGTTGCCAACAGCTGCACGAAAAATTACCCAGCGCTTTGGAGACCTTACTTTTGGAATCAGCTACGTACAATGCCATAAGCCATCTTTTTGATGCAGTCAGCAGCAAGCCACTATCTTTGTTACCATCAGATTCAAAGTTTTGTGTCAATGAACATCCTTGAGAGGTCCAAACAAAAGTCACAATGAGTGAGTCCTGGATGCTTGTATGTTCCATACTTGAAGACCACAAAGCAGACACAGCAAGTGTTCAGAAGATATTACAAACAGCACATCATGGTTGAACCCTGTGCATTAGAGAAACTAATTGAATTGTTAATGGTAGACCAATAGTAATATCTGTTAGCATAAATTTGATGATAGTTATATTATGAAAAAATTTTTATTGGAATGTACAATTCATATCAACCTGCAAACGTGTGGTAGATATTTTTGAGTTTTCAGTAGTTTGTCATTAATATTGTTCCCTTTCGTCTGAAGCTGTATCTCTTTTTTGCTCTTAAGATTAACATTATGTATTTGTAAAATCTCAACTGCCATAATTTTAAATTCAGTATGATAAGCATTATATCATATTAATTTCCTCCAAGACATTGGGACTTGATCAGTGAATGCACTGGATGTCAGTTAAGTTTGCCATAGACATTTGTAATGTGAATTCAATCTGACCAAGTTTGGTAGCAGACTAAATTCCTTAAGATAAAACTGTAAGAGTTCAGGTGAGCAGATTCCTAACTAATTATTTTAACGAGCAAGTTGGTGTAGTGGTAACACTGTAGACACTTGGGAGATGCATGTCTACAGTCTCAGCCAGGACATTGCCTATCCTGACTTGAAATTTTTCATGGTTCCCACAAGACCCTGCAGGCAGATACCAGTATTGTTTATTAATTGGGCAACAACTAGTTATTTCCACATCCTTTCAGACTTACAATCATCAATCATCCTATCATTCAGCATTGTAGTTAAATACTGACAGCATCATAAAATAACCCACAAAATACAGGGAAGAAGTATGTTGTGTGGGCTGGATCTCTGGCTCTGCGATTCACGGCGGCCAGCATGCAGCTTGCTGCGAGGCACATACAAATTTTGCGAACGAATCAGCATGCCTGATGGCCGATAACGTTCAGAATGAAGTAGTTACAATTCATAGATCAAATGGGAGGAGTTGAAAATGCTGTCCTCTGTATACATAAATATTTTTTTGCAATTGTTTTGTTAAAAAACACAGGTTCAACAATGCACTTTACACTTGGAGCACACCAGGCATCAACTTTCACTGGATGGCTTCAGCAGTTGTTTTTGCTGTTCTTACACTTGACTTTGACATTCCAGTCTCTTGAGCTGGACGTTTCAGTGATTTTCTAGATGTATATTCAAGTCTGGCCCATGTCATCTAACTTCTCATCAATAAACACTTGTTGCTTATGTTTTTGTTTCTTGTCTGTTAAGAGTCCCATTGTTCTAGTTTATTCACCAAATTCTAAATTGTTCGTCTGCTGGAAACTCTTTCGTCGTGAAATTTTCGTTGACACTTTGTAGCAGATCCATATTTCACATGAGTGACACAGAAATATATATGCTCTAAAGTATACCACACCATGACATACCTCACTGTGCGTTAACTGTGGCTGAGAACAAATGGCTGATGGAGCTGATAACTGCTGCCTACTGCTGAAAAATCATAAACAAACTCCCACACTGCTCGCTGTGTAACATAATATTGTCAAGTGATCCAAAAGTTAATTACTTCCCTTCATTCCGAATGTTATCGGCCCTCAGGCATGCTGATGCATCGACAAAATTTGTGTGCACCGTGCAACAAGTGGCACACCAGCTGCTATGAAGCGCAGAACCATGGACCCAGTCCACACACTAAAAATCCTCACTGTATATGCTCATTTATATATGCATGAGATATTGTAATGGGAAAATAAGCATGAGCATGATGTCTAAATATTATTTTCTAGTTTGATGTTAAACATGATTAATGAGAGTACATAGACCAATGCTTGGAATTGGAGATTATTTGAAGTTATCCTTTACCCTTTGATTCATCTGCTAGGCACTAAGGAGTAATGCTCTTTCTTTTCAGTTTCAGTAAGTATAAATCGGTTACAACACGTCATACTGTTCATTGTACTACTCCAAATTTCTAAATTCTTACAAACTTCATCTCTTGTGTACTGCCTTGGCAACAGGAAGTGGGCTGATTGGTATGACTATCTTCATTATGTTTATTTCATAATTGGAAAATTTGAAGATTACATCGTCATCCCCTCAAGTCTTATTAGTCCTAATAGACCTATAAGGGATATTACAAAATGGTCTTCATGTAAAGAATTAACATAAATACTTAAACTTGTTTCACTAAGTAACCAAAGACACCAGTGAACAATGTGTATCCTAACACATAAGCAAGTCAAAGAGTATGCCATCTGAAGTAAAATGAGAAAATGCTTATGTAATGTGTACACTATTCTGCCGTTTGTCATGGAAACATACCAGAATCAGGAAGAAAATAGAAATTAAATAGCTGTGTTATCTGGGGAAGGATTACTACTTCTGTCACTCTTTGTGTGTTAATTGAAATAGAGAAGATCAGTTATTATGGCAGTAGAGAATATATTGGCTGTTCATCAAAATTAGATGAGTGAAACTGAATGTATTTTTCTTACAAAATTCATTTGTTAAATTTGTCTGTCATTACTACTATTGTGCTTAATTTTTTACAAATTATCAGAAGGAATGGATATTACTTTACCCAGACACAGAATGACCACTGTTGGGTGATTGGTTTTGAAAGCTTGTTCTTAATATCTGAAAGAAATTGCAGTTAACTATCTTACTGCAAAAACTAGGACTGCAGGCCAAAAGAATTGCCACATGTTTTCATAACAGATTTAATAATGCTAATAATAAATGTATTATGGCCAAAATAAGAAGCAGATTTTTACATGGTTGTACCATTTTTCAAAGTCAGAGTCAGATTTCCTTTATGACTGGCAATTTATCGCTTTGGCACCAAACCCCTAAAGGCTCACAACCGGAAATTTTTTCCAACTGGACCCTTATGGTCATAGTCCTTATGTAACATCCTCTCTAGCTAAAAGATGAGTTTGTCTCTTAGGAATATGTTAATATGCTTGGCCTTTTATCAATTGTACATATCACACATATAGCATGTTAATGAAAATTCTTCTTTTTGCACTATATACAAGTCCTCTGTCAGTCCAGGCTTTGCAAAGCAGATCATGCTTGTCTTATGCTACAGCGGCAGCTTGGTCACTTGAACAGTCATAAGCTTCACCATCACCAAGTTTGGCCTCCACCCCCATCTCTTCGTATCAAATACATGAAATGTATTCTATAGAAAACTGGCATGTGACCATCATCCAAATCAAACAATGGAGGCTTAACCTGCTGTGTTCATATACCCCTATGTCACAGGCAGTAAATGAGCTGTAATTAAAAATATTGTTAATAGTTTGAAACAAGCACAAGTATTTACATTTTGAAATCTTTTAAGCAAAATTATATGGGTGTAACAGGCTTGAGAACCAGAAGTTTTCTGAGAAAAACTGTATGGCGTTAATTATGTGAAGTGTATAAGTTCAGAAACAAATGCAGGATTTAGATTGTACAGAAGCAAATGAATAGTTCCAGACTGTAGGCTCATGGACATGTTAATGTCTGAAATACAGAGTATAATTATTTAGCACATTGAGCTCTTTATTATTTGAAGTTCATTCCCATACTTCAGATTATATTTATTGTTATTAATAATCAAGAGAAATATATTAAGAGGGAAATGCAAAGTTATGATCAGAAATCATTGTATTTCTTACATGTATTTAGAACTCAAATATTATGTTTAGTAGAAAATAATGAGAAATATTCTTGAAAAATAAAATTGCAGTTCCAGGGCTCTTTGTAACCATAATCTCACTCGACAGCCAAAATAAGATAAACATATGAAAGCAATTTTATGCTTTGTATATGAGAATGTACATGTGTGTCCATGTGTATGCTTGTGCATGCATGGTGTATGCAAGGAACATAAGATACGAGCAAAATGCATGTATGCTTTAAGTTTCTTTAGATTTACAGGAGAAACTTAAGGGAGGAGTCTTATAAGCTGACTGTATTTAAGTATAAAATTATTTTCTGCTTGAAAAAAGTAAAAATTTGTCTACAAAATGTTCTTAAATTTGTTAATCAAGTAGTGAGACACAGGAATCCCTCACCACAGTTCTCTGGTTTGTAACAGACTGTATTGGTATAAGCCTGCACAACGTTTTGACTTAATGAGATGTGTGAAATTCCAGGTCCCCACAGTGCTCTCTGCCTCATCCTATGCTAATGAAGGTTTTGTTAGTCTAGTAGTGAGGCACTGGAATCGCTGGAATCGCTCACTACAGTTCTTTGGTTTGTAGCAGGCTGTATTGGTACATGCCTGCACAACTTTTTGACTTAATGAGATGTGTCGAATACCAGATCCTCACAGTGCTCCCTGCCTCATCTTCATTACTGTGCTGTTCTTGTGAGTGAATGGGATCTGACACTTCAAACTCAGCAGTGAATTTCTTCACCTTTGCCTTGTGTTCAGACCTCAGAAAATCAAAAGACATTAGAAACAAAAATCATGGTTCTGTCATGTAACTAATTTTTGTTATCCATGATGGAAAGTGCCATGTTTTCCTTGTTCTAGAGATGCTGAGGATATCAGCACAGGGAAGCACAAGTTGGCTGGTCATGAATCTGATGGCCCTCCTGCAAAGCGGTCAAAGAGCAGCATCCCTCCTCAGGGACATGGCTTGGAAACAGAGAGACACTTCATGCAGTATTTCATGATGAATGTATGTGCTGGCTATTCATCTCTGCTCCATGTATTCCAGTACCTGAAGGTACAGGAATTGCTGCGTGCAGCCAGGGTGTGTCGCATGTGGCATGATATGGCTTCACATCCTTCACTGGTCAGTATCCAGAAGTATACGGAACACTTTTTATACTAATGTATTTTAAATTGTTTGCTGGTTTCATAGAAGAGGAAATTTAAATTCTTAAATGTTTTCACGTGTAGTAGTAATTTTATAATGCCATAAATATCTATTATGACTGGACTTAAATATGAATATTATCCAGGGTTTGAACTGTAGCTGCTACTAGAATAGGTGCTGTGGATAGTAGCATGGAATAGTATCAAAACAATTGAGATTGTCCTTTACTGCACTGGATGGCTCTCACTCTGGAAGTTAGGGTTTAGAGTGCTTTTAACAGCATGGCTATCTGTGCCTATATCTCAGTCTACTTGTTTCTTATAAGGTTGACACTTTTAGCACTCATGACCTATTTGTGGTACCAGTATCTTAAAAATTTAAGGTTATAGATTTGTGTATTTTTCCTTTCCTTGTTTTAGGAGTTACATATAAGTAGCTTACAGTATTGTGTGGTTTTGGCAAGCATTTCTGATGGCAGTGTTATCTCTCTTAGTGGCGAACTGTGAGGATGAAGAACTCACATGTTGGTGATTGGGAAGGTCTTGTGAAGAGTCTGCAGAGGCATGAGACACAGCACCTTGACCTGCGCAAGATGCTCGTACCAAATGAAGACACCGGTTCCATGTGGGATAAGTTTTGTAGCGCTATCATTCATGCTACAAGCCTGTCACGTTTAGACTTGTGTCGATGTCCTGCTCGAGTGGTTGAGAAGGTGGCAGAGTCTTGCCCGCAATTGAAAATAATCAATGCATTATCAATCAAGTAAGAAAATTTTGTCATTTCTGTACTGACGTAAAACATCAAATGCAGTTACAATGACAGTGAAATACCATATAGTCCTTTATATAGAATATTTACAATTTTTATGCGGAGCCGTATGAATATTGTATATAGAAGACATGTTCTCTTGGGGAAGGGGGGTTTTAGTTTCAGGTTGGGTTTAATTTTAAATTTTATGTTAGTATTTAAGTAGTAATTTTTACATACAATAATACAGTTCTGTCAACAGTGCAACCTGTTTTTATTCTTTCTCTTTCATAACATGTTTTGGCCCCAGCCGGCCATCATCAGGTGTCTTTAATTTGCCAAAACTGCTATACTATATTGATTGTCACTCATTCACATCACATATAACTTCAATATTTCATGATTTGAAATGTTGTAATGACAGTCTAGCTAATATTAATTAAATTATCGTATGCTGTAATTTACTTTCAGTTAAAATTCATTAAACATTTTTTCCTTAAAATTTTATGGAATTCATAAAAATGTGATTGAAATTTTCATTGTGAAGTTGGTACTCTTTATTAGCATGTATTTTGGAACCTCTTCAGATTTCTTTTCTCTCTCTCTCTTCCCCCCCCCTCAGTTCTTGCCTTTGAGGCACATAATTTCAATTAGGAAATGCATGGAAAACCAAGCCAGTTTCATCTGTATTAACAGTGCCCTTGGATCATATCCTTCAGTAAGAGATGACAACTTACATGTGCAGTCAGTCGCACTTTCTTCATTCACATCTGCTTCTTCTCCAGACAAATCAGTAGATAACTTTGTGTTTTTTATTTATTTATTTAAAAACAATTCAGTAGCTGCTGCAACTGAACACTATCAGAACAAAATGTTTATCAATGACAGTTCACAGACAACTGATCTTGTCTTTTCCAAAACAGGCTGGAATTTTTTGCAATCTCCATATAATCACTGCAAACAAAAGATATGCTACATTGCCAGTACAGATAGATTCCAGCAGCTAAGCTAAAATAAGCTTCAGTTTTTTAGTCACTTATAAAATTGTAAATTATATTTCACACAATCATTTCTGCTACCTTATCAATTAGAGGCAATTTCATTAGAAGCCTTCAGAACCTCACTACTCAATACTGTGCCAAAAATAACCGAACAACCAACCAACTCATTCTTTTGAGAAAAATCTTTCTTCTTCTCTAATAATTTTTACTCCTTCGTTTATCATAACTTTTTGTGTGTTTGTTAAACTCTTTAATTTTTATAATGAATTCAAATTGGTTTATAGGTGTAGTGATATTATGAGGAACGTTTATGTTCTCAGATGTTCGAATATTAACCTTCAGTGTGTAGGAAATCACAGGAATCTACAAGAACTGCGGCTCAAAAGCCTGTCAGGTATTCGTCTCAGCACCACTTTGGCAGCCCTTAAGCAACTGTCTAGTCTCAAACACTTGGTGAGTATTCTGCTTTGTGAGATTCACTTTACATCTGAATGTCATAGTGCAGTGATTACCATGTCTTATTCATTGTTTGAAGGTCCCATTTTGAATTTCAGCTGCATGACCGGCTATCTGATTGAGTTCATTCTTTCCTCTTGGATCTTTCAGTTGTATGTTAGAGTAGGCCATGGTTTCTTTCTACAAATTTACTGTATATGACATGTATTGTGGTTTCAATTTTTTATTGTCATTTAAAAGTTAATGTTATAATTAAATGGTATGTAATCTGTAAACAAGAACAATTTTCAGTTGAATTTTCAGTGTACATTACATTACATGTGTGTAGGGTGATGTGGTTGAAACTTGAATTATTTCATCATCTTATTTAAATGGATTATCTTAGTAATATTTGAACTGGGATACTTTCTAGTCACTAACAACATTCAAGGAACTAGGGAAGATGGAACCCAGTGTTCTTGGCTCCTTGAAGAATTTGGAGTCACTTGAACTTGGTGAATGCTGTGACTTTCCTCCTGAATTTGGACCTGAATCACTTTCACGACTGAAGAAACTGGAACGTCTGCGTCTGGAGAAAGGACAGGGGAAAGACTGTCCAACCTTCAGTATTTTGGCTGGAATTGCAGTCCTTCCCAAACTGACACACCTTGAACTTGTCAACTTTGATGTGAAACCTGGCTTTGATAAGGCTTTGGCTCAGTGCACCAATATCCGCAGATTGCTCATCATTCCAACATATGTGACACAGGTTTGTACAACAGCTTCTAGAAAGCTGTCAGGTATGGTGTTCATTTATTACAGATGCAATTTTGCTATTTCATACCTAGCATCTCACAGTAACTCCATATATTACCTTTCCTTGCACTTAATTTGTGTTTGAAATATTAAAAATGTGTCAAGAATGGTTGTGAATTTTCAACAAAATTTATATTTAATGTTACCAGTTTGTATAATCTAGGTGTTTCATTAGCTTATTTTCCTTTTGTAAGAAAAGGGAGCAGACCGTGGAATCACCATTCTGTCTTGTCTATGTGTATTCCCCTTTCCTGTTCTTGAGCCAGTTGTCCAGTTGTTACAAAAATAAATATGGATGTTATAACACTGGAGGCCACTCTGATGTCATACATTTTAATTCATTTTGTTTCTTACCATACAACTCAGTGGAAAATGGTATTTCCACGTTTTACTGAAACTCCACAATATCAGATTTCATGGAAGTCTGTGTAGTGTTTCATAATTTGTTATATACAGATAGATGGGCTGACAAGTCAAGACATGGCAAGGCTAATGCGGACATTTTCAAAAATTGTCACTGTAAATGCCCCCCCCCCAAATACTTTTAGGCCTGCATTTTTATCATAGTGTCGTATAGCAATATATGTAATTGGATGTTGGGGTTGAAAATTATGTATTTAAACCATTTTTTTATATTATGAGTACCTTTTATAATGAGCTTTTTAATGAATTTTATAAATCCCTCATTATATTGAAGTTACACTGATATTTATCTGGGAAATTCTCATTCTTGTCATAGTGTTCCCATCTCAGGCAGAAGAGAATCTCATATATGCCTTGTAAAACATGAAATTAACATACAAAATCAGTCATTCTACCTTGAAGATAGCCCCTGGCAGAAAGACTTAAAGAGAAAGTAGTACATTTGAGCAAGGAAAGTATTTAACAGCAATTGCAAAGCACAGTTACAATTGTGTTACCAGCAATTAACTCATTTGCAAGGAATGGCGAGAGCTGTGTATATATATATATATATCTTTCAAATCTACATAGAGTCTCCTGTGCTTACTGAGTCTCCTGTGCTTACTCTGTTTTGAAAGCATGTGTTTAGTTTGAATACATAATGATAAATGTCTGTTTCAACTTGCAGTCAGCTACTACAAATCACATGGTTCTGAACGGTGTGAATCATCTGTGCAACTCACTGACACACTTCGTTTGGGGAGTGACTCACGAGCTCTTACGGGTTACAGAGCTCTTCGTTGATCAGTGTGAGGGTCAAAAGGATAACAAAACTCCTCCCAGCAAAGCTGGAAAGAAATCCTCAGGCAGTGACAGTATTCCAATCCTGAAACCAATCCAGATCAAGGATGACTGTCAGACGGATAAGTTAAATGATCAAGAGAATGAGATAGAAAGCAACAGGAATGGCGATACCAAAACTGCAGAAGACTCTGAAGACAGAGATGAATCTGATGATGCAAAAGCCTCTGCTGCAGCCCCTCAGGTGGAAATTCTCCCTCTCCCAAAATTGCAAAAACTCCTCACTTCATCTCTCCCAAAGACTAGAGTAAAGATTCTGAAAATTCCATTCCATGCAACATGGCGTCAGACCATTTCCGAACCTGCTCTGTGAGAAAGCCAGCCTGACTTTGGATGGCCTTACTGTTATTAATGGCTTAAATTCAATAACAGTATTTTCCTTTACTGATAAAATTATTACAGTTCATCATGTATAAGATGCATGAAACATTCAGTTGTAAATATATGCTGAATGTGGGAAAATTAGAGTTTCTACATTGTTAAATGGAAAGTCAAGTTGAACTAGGCAGTTTACAGTTTGTAGCAGTGTTGTTCTTTAAGAGGTGTGTAGGATATATATATTATTATTATTATACCGTGGTGTCTGTAACTGTAAGTACAAATTTGCCTGCAGACCCCTTTCTACAATAGCAGCAGCAGTAGTAATAGTAGTGGTAGTAGTAGTAGTAATAGCAGCAGCAGCAGTAGTAGTAGTAGTAGTAGTTTTTATATATGGCTTGCTGCAGTTGCAGAACTTTTTAACACAAATCAGGAACATCAAGAATTGTAGTGTTAGAACAATCAATATTAGTTAATTAGTACCAGAGTTTGGCATAGAATGTATCATATACATTTCATTAGAACATGAGTTAATTTTAGAAAGGACAGCACAGCTTTTAAACTGGAGGAGTATGTATCTCAAATTGGATTTAGAATTAGGTGTGCTGTGATGAATCTTTTAAAATGGACATGATTTGCAACTTGACCTATGTGGACTATAAAAGAAACGTCTGTTGAAATATAGTGGAACTGAAGATGACAGGAGCTATGGGCAAGGAAACAAGTGATACACATGGAAGTTACGCAGGGTGGTTTGAGGCTTATGTTAAAAAAAACTGTTGAATGGGCTCTTGTCATATCAGATGGTTCTTGTTTGTGAAAAGTGTCTCGAAAAAAGTTTAAATTGTTTATGTTAATGTGTCATTTTTATTACTGTGACTATACTTAATTTGATCAGCTGTTACACAGTCTTTTGCTGTCATGATAACTTGTTTAAGTTTGTGTGGATTGTGGCAACAGTTAACAGAATCTTAGACATTGTGAGTTCACAAATTTTGTGACTCACTCTCATAAGTGGATGTTTAGATCTGAACTGAATTCTACAAATGTAAGTTTATTTCCAGTTACTTATGAAATAGATTTGGGTTCCAGTTCTAGTTTCCATTTAGAAGAAGCTCAGTGAAAATCTTCAGCCTGTTCTTAACAGTGCTATTATTTTATAAAAATGAACTTGAATCTGAATATGCCAAACATATGTAATACACAATAAATATTTCAAGGTGTTAGATGGTCATGTGGACTGTTGTGTATAAGATATTTCATATTTTATTGTCCACTTCATATCCTTATACTTCTAGATCTTAAAATCTTCCTGAATCATGATACATGAGCAAAATCTGCCTTTTCTAAAGAGTACCATAAGTGTTAGTACTTTATTCTGTGTCAAGACAGTAGGGCAGTATTTGATGTATACAGTATACTGTTAATAGTCCTTTGAATATCCAGTTTGTGACTTACCCATATGCCTTTTAGGTACATTTGCAACCCTACAGAGAGCCTATTAAGTTTGCTCAATTCAGTGAAATGGATGGATTATCATGAAATTTGATATTCAAGAATTTTTTAAAAAACTGTTTATTCATTTAAATTTTCATTTAGATTGGACAATTTTAACAACCACTTTACATGAAGACCTATATTCATTTCTGTGCTTATATCAAGTGCAACTCGCTAAATACTTATTGGCATGAAAAATGTTTCACACAAGTGTTTTAGGGAAACATGAAACACATATTTTACATTCAACACATTCTCTGTATGTTGTGAGCTTTCTGACATAATATGCAAATCAGATTCTATCTGTACATTTTCTAATTTATATATTAAAAGCAGTTGCTGTAGTCTCCTGATCATACCCAAAACTTGGGTTATCTGTGTTCTTTCTTCTTATTTGTGCATCTTTCCCCCTTCTTAGCTCATATAACTGGGAGTATACTGTTTTTGATAAGTTACTTACAGATGTGTTAACATAGTTGAATAAGTAATGAAGTATGGTATAATAATAATGAGCTTTAATGAGAAAAATCTGTTAAAATTTCTCAAAGGAATTTGTAATATTTCACAATTACTTTGATGTGGAATTCTGTATGCACTTTGTATAAAAGTTATGGCTTGACAACACCTACATACATATGTACATATTGATGCACCTCCATCTAGTGCTGAGGTCAAGAACAGTAGCACTATACCTTCACTTTCCTATATATCATCGTGGCCTGATCCTTAATTAAGCAAGCACAGGGACAGGAGGGGGAAGAGCACTGTAATGGGCCATATTTGACAGGCTGATGTTATCGGTGGTGTATAAGAATCATCTTAGCTTGGCCTTCTAGAGATGAGCAGTGTTTTGATGCAGCAGTAGTTTCACAGCAGAAAAGTATTGATGATGATCTTCAAACGTTCTGTCATACATAATTTAAATTATGTATGGAGGTGGTAGGCACATATTTTGTAATTTATACCCATTAATGTGAATATGAAAAGCACAAGAATATAATTTTGAATCCAGGATTCAAGTAGCAAAGAGATAAGTATACTATGCATCACATTTATCTGTGGCATAAGAGAGAGAAATGGCCATTAGACAGTTTTCAAATAAATGTTATCAAAATGGACGGACATTTTTTTTTGTAGACTGCTTAGTTACATAATATCAAGTCTGAAATTTATGTATTTGTATTTTTAACATCACAGTTTTAGGTTGCTAAGCTTATTCAAATAAAACCATTGTCAGCTGAGTACCCATTCACATATACTAATGAATAGTTGCTTAATCAGCCTTCAAATAATAACTGATGTTCTGACAGCTAAAATTTATAAAATCGTTACTCACTTTTCATCATTTAAGTATTATGGGTTGTATTTTCTGAGAAAAAGACGCTATAACAGGAATTTATACTACTATTTCTGGGGATGACTAGAGCAGTATTCTAATATTCTTTATATGCATCTTCAGGATTGTTTTAATCCCGAACAAATGTGACAAAACCACACCCAAAAACTAAAATCCAGAGATATAAATAACACTGAACAGGTGGTATTACACACTACACAGAAAAGATAAATTAAGATTTTGGGTTATTGAAAGGAGTGTTACTGCTTCTCTTACTGAATATCTCAGGCTACTAGAAGCAAAGTTTGGTTGTCATGGTATGTTCCTTAACCAGTAATCTCAGGTGTTATGCTATCATCAGAACCATTTAGAATCTGTAATATTCCAGTATTTTATTTCTGTTGAAATGTATAATGAAAGTCCATTTTCATATAGGCATATATAATGAAGAATATAAAATACCTACTGCACATTTCAGTTCTGAAAATTCTGTAATTATTTGGTCCTAGAAATAAGTTGGGCAGAGTTCAATAAATCATTGAAGAACTGGAACTGACAAGATCTTTACAACTGGAAGACACACAAAATTATTAGCTCACATAGGTGTAGAATTGGTTTCCTCATTCATAGTTGCAGTAGAAACTACATTCACTTAGACATTCCTTTAAGTGAATATCCACCATCGGAGACATTTCTGGAATGTCGTCAGAGTTCTGCTGAATACAATGTGGAACTCACGACATATAGCTAAAACAAACAAACATATGTATATCTAATAAATTAACTTTACAAGAACGTGTTTATGTTAAAAAAGTCCCATTTTAACAGACTGAAATTTCTTAGACAGTTTCATTATATATGGTTACATTTACTGACCTATGTATGTAATTGCTATAAAAAGTAACATAAGTGCTTTGTAGAAGTATAATTTTCAGTCCGTGAAGTGGTTTTCGATTCCACCTTTACAATATCTCTTTGTAAATATGGATTTGTGTTAAATGGGTGATAGAATCTTGTCCGCAGTTGTTCCTCAGTCTGTTGCTTGAAATATAGGATTTATATGAAATTACAGTAACAGTGTATATCAGCTCCTGCACTACTACAGTAAAACCTTGTTAGCCGAAAATTCAAGGGACATATAATTATCTTGACCCCAGTCATTATCTGTATACAGCAATAGGTGATAAATATGTGCAGTATGTAGTAACAATGTAATAACCATAGTTTTTAACATGTTACATTCAATTATGATATGAACTATTGATTCTGCATTGAAATTTAATGATTCTGCAGTCGAGGACTAAAAGAAGCACCAACATGATACAGCGAGCATACATATGGTGTGATAACTGAATCTACAACACATTCAGGACTTCGCCAGTAACATTTTTTGGGTTTCATAGATTTGCCACCAGTTGCCATCAGAGATCGGTATTATCAAATGTGATCAGTAACTTATAGAAGCGAAGTGAAATTAATGCCAGCAGTAGAAGTATTCAGTATTTACAGCACATGCAGGCAAGTAGGTTCTAACCATCACTCACACTTGAAATATCAATCCACTGCCCATGTATACCACTTGATCTATCACTGGGTAAATTTTTCATTGGTCAGAAGTGGCTAATCTAATGATTAACCATTTGTGAATCATTAAAATTTCAGATTTGCTCCATGATATGTTTTAATTACCTATGTCAAGGAGAGTATGAAACCCTATCTTGTTATTTGGGACTATCTGTAACTTTATTATCTGTGGTGTTTTAATGGTTCACATTCTAACAGTGTTTATTTGTAATTCTTCAATCAAGAGAAAGAATCCCTCTTTTATTTTGTCAGAAAACCCCAGTTTTTAATTAGAAACTACTATGTAGAATTTCAGTTGCCTGTGCTTATAAAGGAAAATGGATTTATTGTTTGGAGGACCTAGAATGTATATAGCTGTATGTGTATAATTAAACACCCAGTAGTAAGTTCTTGTTTACTTTAGTGTGTTATAACCACCGAAACAGAACTGTAACATTGGAATTGAAAGGTTTATTTTGTCATTTGTAATTTGAAATAATGAAAATTAATAATGTGTATCACCTGTACTCAAGGATGTTTTCCTGTGTAAATATTTTTCAGAGTACACATTGTTTGAAAATGGAAACTAGAATGCGTGCAATGTAAAATGTAATGAACATTTATCTGAAACATCTGCTATGGTAAAGCTTAATTATGTGAAATGTCACTGTATGTGAGTGTATATAAATTCCAATGTTTCTTGCGTTGAACTGTGGTGGATATCAGCATTAGTAGAATGTATACTTACTGTACCATTTAAATATAATGTCACTCATTTTACTTGTACTTCATTTTTTAAGCAGACCAAGACATTGGCCTGCTGTATATACCATATTACTTCAAATATGACACACATTTTACACATTTTTCCCCATTGAAAAAAGAGGTGCATCTTAAATTCAAGTAATGTGCACCTAATTTTTTTTCTAACCCTCACATTCAAAACATTGGATATGTATTAAATTTGAGAGCATCTTATGTTAGAAGTAATATGGTATATTAAGAAAGTCATCTCCTGGGTTTTGGCGCCATGTATTCTTCGTTTTGGCTGACGTTTCAGAGGAACGTATCGCCTCCATCTTCAGAGCAGGTGAATGGCTTGTGAATGCAGGGTGCAGTAGTTGTACTCTCCGAAACGTCAGCCAAAACGAAGAATACATGGCGCCAAAACCCAGAAGACGACTTTCTTCATAGTCATTGCTGTGAAAACCTCAAAACTTACAATATGGTATATTGTTTGATACCAGGAAGTTACTATTTTGGCTAGGAATTTATCTGCCTGGATTTTTTTGAGGGACACATTACCATAAACTGAAACTTAAGTCTGGAGAACAGTGTGGTAATTGACATTTCAGAATTAATTATAACTGAGGAGACTAGTACTGGCAGCATTATCAATAGTATTTAGATATTCTGTTCTTGTACCACCAATGAATATGTCATATAAACAGAATTCACTGTGAGGTTTTGCACTACATTACCTTTAGATATTTTTAAGTCTATATTGTGCATTGATTTTAAATTACAAAATAAATTGTATCTGTATTATGCTGCAGGCCTAATGCTTAAATATGAAGTGCACTGACATTGATACCAATATCCTCTTTATTGTGGCAATTTATTTGTGATTACACAAACCATTTCACTCACCCTTGTTAAGATAATTTGCTACGAAGAGTAACAGTTCAGAAGCACAAAATTATCATGAGTTTTGGAAACTGCATATCATTTGATTTCCATTAATCTTCCTGAGAAAGTTCTCATATTAAACTAAACTGTGGTTTTGGTCCACAAGTGAACTATACCAACCGAGCGACAGCTGCTTGTCGGCGAAGTTAGTGCAAACTTAAGCGGATACAGGGCGTCACGTGGACACCGCAACGGATCCCAACGGCTGTTAATTTCGGTTTTCTGGACCGGAGTTCTCATATTAAGTATGTATAATTATTTTGTATTTACACCAAAGTAGAGCTTATGTGGCATAATAACTAAACCCTTTTATGATCTTGAATATCTGGCAACTTGTGCAGCACTTTTAATAAACCATAGGCAATTTTAATTTTCTGTAGTACATTCTGTCACTGTTGCAGTCAAAATGTAACCACTGCTGTTAGCTGCAGTTTCCAATATTCTGTAGCTCTGTGCTTTCAGTATGTCATGCTACCACTGATTTCTTCATAACTAAATCCATTAGTTTATGCATTCTGAGAGCAAATAATTTAATTATACAAGAAATGAACAAGAAACTGGCAAAATATTGATCCATGATTAGTATATTTGATATCCACACTAAGGATGATAAATCTAACTAGTATTATAAAACCTCAGTCTTAGTTCACATCTACAAAATTTGCTTCTTTAAGGTTCATGGAGCTGAGCTCTTCTTGAGAAGCTGCCAAATTTGCAGCTACTCAAGAACTTCCCAGCATTTTATGTAACCTGAAGGTTCATTACTGTGTTCACAAGAGCCCTTCACTGGTCCCTATCCTGAACCAGATTGATCCAGTCCATACCATCCCATCCTCTCTCTTTTAAGATTCATTTTAATGCTGTTCACCCACATATGGCTTGGTCTTCCTAATTGTCTCTTCTTGCCTTTCCACCAAAATCCTATATGCATTCCTCTTCTCCCTCATTCGTGCTACATGTGCTGCCCATCTCATCATCCTTAACTTGGTCATTCTAATTTATTTATTTCGTCTGTATAGATCATTGTTACATGATATAGGACAAGTCAGTTACTGTACATTGACTGATTACAATAAGAGAATATAGTTACAATACTTACAATTGTTTACAGTAGATTACACTAGTTTACAATAGTTAAGATTTCATATAGTGTAAGGTGGAATCCATATTAGGTCCCCTCGGAACGTCGGCTTCCATATGTCCTATTGTACCTATACTGGTGATAATGCTTATGGAGAATTTGATGGAATGAGGAGAATGTTAGGCGAGGAGTACAACTTATGAAGCTCATGCAGTTTTCTCCAACCTCGTATCACTTCATCTCTCTTCAGTCCAATATATTCTCCTCAACACCCTGTTTTCAAACACCCTCAGTCTATGTCTCTCCCTTAAAGTCAGAGACCAAGTTTCACATCTATACAGAACCACAGGCAAAATTATAGTTTTGTATATTATAATTTTTATTTTTTTAGACAGCAGATGAGAAGACAAAAGATTCTGGACTGAATGGTAGTAAGCCTTACCTGAATTCAGTCTCCTATTTATTTCCTCCCTATTCAGGTTTTGATTTGTTATAGTCCTTCCCAAATATCTGAACTGTACCACATTTTCAAAACATCTGTTACCTATCTTTATGTCATGATTTTGCCCTGTATTCTGGTGACAAGACAGCAACATATACTTAGTTTTCTGTGTGTTATTTCTAGACCAATCTCCTTATTAGTGTCAGTTAAAGTTTCTCTGTTTTTGTTTATGGTACCTACATACTTGTATATCATCTCCCAATAGATTCACATCATCAGCATAGTCAGGCAGCTGATATGTCCCATTTAATTTCAGTCCCATCTGATTTTCCTGGACCTTCATAAGGGCAACTTCTGAAGCAAAGTTGAAAAGCAGTGGTAATAAAGCATTTCCTTGTCTTAGGCCATTCTGGATAGGGAAATTATCAATTTACCTATATGAATTTTAATATATGTTTCGTTTAAACATTTTAATCAGCCTAACTAGTTTCATGGGTACCCGAAACTCTATCCCTATACACATATTGTACAATACTTCCCTCCTGCCAGAATCATAAGCTTTCTTGAATGGCTGGTGTGCTGTCTTCCATTTATTCTCCAGTAATTTATGAATGCAGGAACTAGGATAGTGCAGTTGGTATAGCAACTGGCTTCAAGCTGGATGACCCAAGGGGTAGGAGTTCAAGTCCTGGTAGGGTCAAGAATTTTCTCTTATCGTCCACACCGGCTCTGGGGTCCACCTAACTGCCTATCCAGTGGGTACCAGGGACTCTTTCCCTGGGAGTAATGCAGCCAGTGCATGAAACTGACCACTCACCTCCAACTAGTGCTGAGGTCAAGAAAAGTGGATCTATACATCCACTCCCCCATACACCCCCATGGAATAGTGTTTAATTTGTTAAGCACAGGGACAACTTTACTTTTACTTATGAATGCATTAAATGTAATCAGTAGTTTATCTGTTACATCAAAACCCACACTGATTATCCCCAACAATTTTATCTACATATGGACTTAGCCTTGAGAGAAGGATATTGGATAAAATTTTGTATGAAATTGATAGCACCGATATCCCACGATAATTACTACAGTCAGTTTTATCACCCTTGTAAATTGGTACAAAAATAGACTCCTTCGACTGATCACGCAATTCTTCCTTCTTCAAAATAGAATTAATGAGTTTATGGATCCTAGACCATAATATTTCACCTCCTGCTAGAATCAGTTCTGCTGGAATTTGATCACTACCTGGCACTTTATACCTTTTCAACTCTGCAATAGCAATTTCAACATCAAGAGGAGTAGGATCATGTACGAATGCCTCAGCTGTATGTATATCTGTCAGTAGCAGTAGCAGTAGCTATGCCATACCTCAGGTGGTTAGTCATCAGCTTCCCATTGAAGCAGATTTTCTCCAAGTAATATGGTTTCCCCAGCCAATTGTTATTCCACCAACTGCTTCACATTCATTAATTTATAGTCCTGCTATTACAGCATTATTAAATAACCAAGGAAAGCCATATCAATGGTACTTAAGGGAATCAAGAACATTATTGTTTCACATCAGGTTAAATAGGTTAAATAGGCCAAATAGCCGAAACATGTTGTTAATCTATTCTCAAATTTGATGTGTTGTGACTGATAAATATAGTGCTCATCATTTAATTATTATAGTAGTATAAAATTATATTGTTCTTATTATTCTATTATTGTATCATTGTATTGGATTATAGAGTGTTTTGACTTGTCCTATGTCATGTATAATGATCCATGGATGTGAAGTGAATAAATAAATAAATAAATAGATGAATGGAAGTATCTGTGTTACTTTGTGAATTTTAATCAAAAGAATTTTTTTTTTAATTTGCAATACCAGTGTAACTCTTAGTAAGAGTAATGTTAAATGACACTTTAAAAATGTGACTTGCACATTGTCTCAATAAGGGGAAAGTGTTTACAAGATCCCAGTAGTTGCCCCATTCCATGTAACCAAGGGCGATCTTCCATTAGATTTTGATAACTGAGTCATGCTCAATATACAATATTCAACTTCAAAACTAATGTTTGTGATTGCAAATAAAACTTGGATCAGACAAAATTCTGAGATTCATAGTTTCAATACTAGGAATAATTCCAATTTTTTCCAACAAATGACTCATCTAACAATGTTTCATAAACGTCCTGCTTATGCAGGTGTCAAGATTTATAATCATCTTCCAGATAATATTAAAGTATTGGCATATGACATTAAAGTTTAAAGAGAGCATTAAAAAATATTTATATGAGCATTCTTTTTATACTGTTGATGAGTTTCTTAAGTATAAAACTAGTTAACCACCTAGACAGCATAAATAACGTTATATTTTATGGTCATTTATTTTCTTTTTCTTGTTCTGTGACTGTTAATTACGAACTGGTAGTATTTTATGCTCAAGTAGTTTGGTGGTTGCACCTCTATTAATTAGCACACTTTTATAAAATGTTTGAACTTTCCATGACTTGAGTGCAGTAATAGATGTGCTAATATGGTATTAAAATTTAATTTCATTTTATATAGTGGATAACTCTTTATGTACAAAGTTAGATAATTTGAATTGTTTTATCTGTTTATTAATTCAAAATATTATCTATATTTATAATTTTTTAAATTGTTACCTTGTTAATCTTATGTTTAATTTTGACAAAATCTTTTTATGACTCCATGTTCATTGACTTCCTCTATATCCAACGGTTGTACCAGCCTGGATTAACAGAAATGAATGAATGAAACTCAAATGACAGGATCAACTGATCCAAGGTAAAATTACAGCTGTCAGTGACACTTCTAGGGATGAATGTTTACTCACTTTTAAAGTCTATGAAAGATATGTCAGTATTTCTTTCAAAATCACTTTCGTGTGTTGAATATCTTAAAATATTTTTTGAAAGGAGATTTTCTGACTTTATGGAAATTAAATTTCGATGTTTCATTTCATGACTAATACAGATAACGCTTTGACCATTTGTGCTATATTCTCTGCCCATCTCATCGTTCTTAACTTTATCATTCTAATTACACTTGACGAAGAGTACAAGTTATGAATGTGAAACAAATGTTTCGAGAATATTTTTTCTCGAAGAATTCCATGTTCTGGGATATAAGGCCGTTTAGGTCAATGAAGTAAATAGACTCTGCTACCAGCTTCACGCTAGGGCTACAAGTCCAACCTGAAGACGGGAACTTACATTCCTACGAAAATGTTAACTCATCGATTGCCACAAGGTTATATCACTCATATCACAGTAGACACATCCCTTCATGTTCATGACCAACGCTGTGAGAACCTAAAATTAAGCCTATTTTCTTTGCCCAAACAACTTCCTGTCAGCCATCTCTGTTCCCTCAGCACAGGAAGGAAGGTTTGGAGTCACCTTCTGTAAGTTTTGTACGAAGGAAAGGAACATTTGAAAGATTTGTAAATAAATTTGATACTTTCTACGTGAGAGGTATGTACACTGTACTACTTTTTGTACGTTACGGGTGATTTAAATATTATAAAGACATGTATATGTAGGGAAAATTTGCTTACGGTTTTCTGTTTGAAATATGGTACACTTCTAATTCGGCCACATGGCTTGTAGAAGTATACTCGTGTAAACACTCGGAAAATTACGCAGAAGTATAAAAGTGAAGAGAAATTTAACGACATTGTAACAATAGTCCGACATTTCTAATAGTTAATGCTTGTTTTCCAGATGCCGTCAGTGACTCTTAAGGACGTGGACCAGCAGAAATTCGTGAAAGCATTTTCAGCTTTCCTGAAGAAGTAAGAGCTCTTAAAGACTGCGCATTTAATGATTACAGTGGAGTAATTATTTCCCAACTAGTTTCTTGCACTTGCTGCTTTGTTGACAACTCTTGAACACAACAATTAATGTTAATGTGTGAATACTTCTTTGTATATGAAATAGGAGATAGTATTCAGTATTGAGGGGGTGGGTTTCCCCATGCACTGCGACCAGTTTGATCTATTGTGCGTCCCCCTTTTAATTTCTATTGTCTCCATACCCTACCGGTACTGGTGCTCACTATCAGCACCTTTCTGCCAGCGAGGTTTCGGCCTTCTACTGGCAGTGGTATCTGATAATTAGTCCCTTTCTGTCAGTGAGGTCGTCCCTCCTCTGGCAGCGGTACCTAATGCTTCCCCATCTACAGGAGGCACTGGAGACTACTTGAGCAGGAAATTTGCCTAATTTAGCTCAGAGGTCTCTCAGAGACATGAGGTTCTTTTACGTGCCGTAAGTCCACGACATGGGACCCAGGGCTTGAAGTCCCTCCTGGAGGACTTGTTCCCTGAATTTTTCCGCCCTTAAAAATTCCACAACCTCCGCCAGGTTTGAACCCGCGTACATTGAGTCATGAGGTGGGAACGTTACCCCTAGACTACGGAGGCCACTTAGGAGATAGTAAGTGGTATTTAGACTTGTCAGTGTACCGAATAACCCCATAGCAAGTTTGTATAAACCCAAATGCAATAAGTACATAGTACACTGTGCAAATAACGGAACTGCATAACTTCTATTTTCAGATTTGAATAAATGTTGCCATAATTATTAATTTATAATAAATGCAGAAGTAGTAACAACTCATTAAATTAATACTTTTATAAGCTATGTCTTAGAACAGAGTAAACACTACCTTTAAAAATATCCATCCAGACTTGGATTAATATCCTTTGAATTTGACTTAGGCACTTAAAACATTAATTTTCCCATTACAAAATTTCCTTCTAGGACTGGTAAAATGAAAGTGCCAGAATGGGTGGATCTTGTGAAAAGTGCAAGATTCAAGGAGTTGGCTCCATACGATGAAGACTGGTATTACACTAGATGTGCTGCTCTTGCGAGACACATTTATTTCCGTTCTCCTGTTGGAGTTGGAGCTGTTACTAAAATCTTTGGAGGTGAGAATAAACAGTAAAAAATTTTTTTCTCCATGAAGTGATTGCACAGAAAGAAGTTACACTCAACTCTCGATTATCCGGGATAATGTTGGGGATGGAAATCACGATTAATCGAAAACCCGGTTAAGACAAATTTTATTAAAAGTAGTACTGTAATACTGTACCTTCATAATATAATAGGCCTACCTGTATTTAAATTTATTCAACCTCATTTTTATGTCATCTCATGGCCTAGTTAATACTTTTTTTACATTACACTGAAGTATGAATTAGTTATTTCAATCACAGTGTTCAACAACATCCAACACTTAACACTTAAAAAAATTAATATTGTCGTTTGCTTTTTCGCGGCATTTTCCACTTTACGGATATCCGTATGAAGCCTACGAAATATTATCTTGTCACTTAATAAACTGTTCTCTTCACTCTGAAGATAGTCTAGTAAGGATTCCAAATGATTAAGAGCAACACTGTCCACATCTTCCTCATTCTCACTTTTGTTTTTTCAAATCTCGAACAGTTTGTTCTCCAATACTGTATTGCATTGCTAATTGTTTAACTACTACTCTTTTTCCCAACTGATTGATAATTTCAAGTTTCTGCTGAATACTTAACACAACACGCTTCCTTCTACACCCTGACATTTTGCTAACGCACTTGAAGATTGATACAAAGATACTAACTGGAGCAATGTATCTGTCCTTGAAACTTTCCACAAATCCTTGCATTCTTTCTCCCCTACCCAAGAACATTGTGTTAGAATAACAGGACCAAGGAATGCAGAGCTCGGTTCACACTAGTGCGAAAATAGTGTTACAACTCACCATGTGAAACAAAAGTGAATGAATATTAAACAACATATAAGCTTCAAAAAAGCCTCAGTTGCCCCGGTTAAGCCGCAAACTGGTTAATCCGCCCCCGGATAATCGAGAGTTGACTGTAATTGTATTCTGGACATGGGGTTATCAAAACTATTGTGATTGCTTTATTTTATATACTGTATACTCCCAATTATTCATGCATGGCTTGCCTACTTTATGGCTTTATCCATTTAGGCAAATTTTCAACCCCATTGAATGCCTTTTAAGTTTGGTTGGTCTGTATATATGCATGAAACAACTTGAGATCCAATGGACAGATTTTTATGAAACAAGATATTTGGGGTTTGTATGAAGAATTGTAGAGCCATTACACTTGTATTTAGATTGGACAATTCCTATGAACACTTTCTGTGAAGATCTGTTTCTGTATATGTCTCGGTCATAACTGGCTGCTTAATTAAGGTCTTTTATAGTTAAGATTTTGACATGATGAAATGTTCATCAAGAGAGAGATTGAAATTCATATTTGTTGTTTAGTAGGAGAGATAAATATGGTATATAAGGTATGCAGTCTCCACTACAATATTCTGTATTTAAAAAACAAAAAGACACTACTGTGTCAACATTTGTTTATATTTATTTTTACAAACACAACATGTTTTTACCCTCATACCGGGCCATCATCAGGTGTACAGTTCTCAAACTTCAGCTATTGAATTGCAATTAATTCTTCAAATAAGGATCCTTATTATGTCTTGAAATTATTGAAATGCATAATTTCGTAAATTGAGTCTTTTTGGTCAAAATTTAAAATGCTTATGCGGACAAGTTGAAACATGTTCCTGCGTGCTTTAAATGCTCATAATGTACTCAGTCCTGGAACTCATTTGTCAAACCTTGTATGATGCCTCCTTGAGGACTACTGCTTAATCATGGAGAAGTGGTTTGTATGCCCCAGTGACCTTTAGAGCTGTGCTGGTGGGAGTGTAAGCTCCTGACAGGGGCACCCATGCCAAACAGTTTGAAGAGTAAAGGCCCTCCAGGTTGGGGGGTGGTTGAGTGTGGGGCTAATGATCTCACCCTAGAAACATTTACTGTTATGAAACCTCCAGAGACACCCTCCCCCCCCTTTTTTTTTTAGTTCAAATGCCATGGAGGAGGTCAAGACTCGCACGGTGTTGTGGCACCAGTAAAGAGGACTTTATAGTTTAAATACGAACTTATTTACATTGATCCAGAACAGCTTGAATCTGTTAGCTGTAGATTTTATGTTTAGTGATTACTAAAACGTTTCTGCTGTGTGACTTGCATGTTGCTTTGACAGGTATAGGTAAAGAACTGTGTCATAGAGCTCAATTTGTTCAGAATGTTTCTCTTGTAACTCGTGTGTTACATATGCTGTAAGTCATTGAAATATTTAAAATCAGAAGTGAAGAATGATGAAATGGTGTGTGTATAAAAAGGGCTTGTAAAGTAACAGAGATAAAATAAGTAGTGATTGTATTTGTATGCAGAATTTTACTGTATATGAATGCTATATGGGTGTTGAAAATTGAATTACTATGAAGCAAATGTTGTCATTAACAGGACGTCAGCGAAATGGCGTATGCCCATCTCATTTCTGCCGAGGTGCAGGTGGTGTTGCCCGTAAGGCACTGCAGTCTCTTGAACAACTGAAACTTATTGAGAAGACTGGTGATGGTGGACGTAGGTTGACCGTTCAAGGGCGTAGAGATCTTGACCGTATTGCAGCACAAGTTCGGCAAAAGAAACAACTTCAGCTACCACAGTAAACTGTCGTCTGATAATAAAACTTCAACGTACAATATGTAGAGCATGGTAACCCACTAGAAAAATAAAGAAATCATTGTGATTTGTCATCCATTGTTTCTTGTTACTGTTTCACGAGACATATTGTATGTACTGTACTTTGTATGGCCATTCCATCAGTTTGTACTCAATAAAGAACTGAGAAGACTTCTTTCAGTGGGTTTTCAGTTTATAAGAATTGATATAGAGTTTCTGTCTGTTTCAGCAATTCTATCAGATCAGTTAAATAACAGACCATAATTACACACATATAGGTCACCTTCACCTGTGTTGCAATATATTTTTACAGTAAAATACTTGGTGTATAAAATTTTTCACAAAATTTTGGATGTGCTTTTGGTGGTCTGTGCACCGGTACTTCATTAAAAACGGTAAAACTTGTGTGACCATCAGATGTAGCTTGTTAAGTGAACTCATTTTTGACCATTAATTTATCTGATAGAACTCCTTTAAAAACAAATTTAAGAAATCTAAAAATATCTCCCCCATTTCACAAGCAGTCCCCTCCTTGGGAAAATAGATCAGGTAGGGAAGAAATTCCCCAGTTTTATGGGACCCAGTTCTTCATTAACATGTTCACATGAGCATGCCATTGATGCCTATCATGAGCCAGATGAATGCAGTGCACATTCTCACTCAATGTCATATTTTAATATCCCATTTATGACTATTGTCCAAGTAATCTCTTCAGGATTTCCAACTGAAACTGTATGCATTTCTTATAACGTCCGGCAAAGTGTAGAAATTATGAAGCTCCACATTGTGCAGTTTCCTTCAGCTTTCTGTTACTACCTCCTTAGGTCCACATATTTTCTACAGAGCTTCATTCTGTAATCTGGTGATAATACATCATTTGCATGCCAACCCTGCATTTACTTTCAGAGCAACATTCTAATTAACATCGAATAGAGCTGCCAAGGAGGGAAGGGTGACATCCTACTCTGCCTTAAGCACCTGTTAGTGTTTTTGCCCGCTCTCATGTCCACTTGTCCATTTAGATAGGCCTTCTGAGGGCAACTGTTTACTTACGCCATGTCCCCTCACCTCTCAAAACCACGCACCAGTCAACCATGCTCTGTTCTGCTTCTTTCCATTTACCACAATCTGCTGGTGGAAATGGGCCCTTTGCTTGCTTTGTCATCTCATACCACCAATGGTCACCTCTGCTTCCTCCTGTGCTTCCTGCCTCCTACGGTTTGCCTTCCATGATTTTTTTTCTCTTCCCTAACATCCATTCCACTATTGAAAGGAGTGCTGTAAGAGCCAATTTCGATGCTCTCTCTTTCCTCCCTACATCACTGTGCTGGTCAGTTCCTTTTTTTTTTTATTCTCTCTTTAAGTTATGTAGCCTGACAATTTTTCAAAGGCTCTTGCGATTTCTTTCCAATTCTTACTGCCATTGGTTTGGTATAGGTTCTTATACCACCCATCCCTCACCCTAGATCTGTACACCCAATATTCTCAGTTCACTCTTTTTCCCTGAAGAAGACAGGATGTTCTGAAACGTCAGCAAACATCGACTGGACTACACAGCACTACAACCCCAAAGAGGTCAAGTCTGCCAGTAGCCTAGGCTATCAACAGCGCCATAAATGGCTGCAATAGGCTTATATATTTTTTTTATGTGACATGGGAAACAATAAATTTGTTAGAAACAGAAATGTCCGAGATCATTGTTAAGTATTTTTTTAGGAATTTGTTATTTATTCATCCTCTATCCAGCTTTGCTGTGAGTTGGAGTAACTTTCTTCTTCTATAGCAAATACACGAGCATTCAGCAGAAAGCAAATGTTAATGCAGCATTATTTTTGGAACTAGCCTAAACATTCCCGACGTTCCCGACATCAATCGTGGCCTACTATATGTGCAGCAAAAATAGAACAGGAAGTAGGGCAAAGGGTCAAAGTCTGAGAGGTTGGAGAGCCCAGTGATGGTGAAGGTATGTTGAGTTTGATAAGGAGTGAAGTAGAATGGGTGTAGTGTATGTGGTGTTTTAGGTGCTGTAATAACAGAAAAGACAGAAAACGTATTTGTAAACCATAATTAAGTTGTGTGTATAGGATGATACCTATAATTTTAAAAGGCTTACAATGGGCAGAAAGAATCACGGGAAAGCACATGGAAGAGTCAAACTTCCAGTACAAGAGACAAATGAAGAGGAGGGTGTACCGAAAATATCTCCTCAAAAAAGAAGTGAAGTGAAGAATCTAGTAGGAAAACTATTGAAAGGTGAGTAAAATATTTCGTGTGTACGGTTGTAGGCGTATTTAAGCGAACTAAAATATGGGAGTTTAATTTTCTCGAAACTCCACCCATTTTAATAGAGGTTATGGACAAAACAAATCCATTCAGAATGCAGGTCCCTATAGATTAGGCCGTCGCTGAACTCATTTTAACACAAGGCATTGGACAGTCATTCAAATGACCGATAATGAAGGCCGGGATCGGGGCATGACGTCAGTTGTCTTCAGGGTACACCTGGCAATGGGGTACAGTAATTTAAATACGTAGGTAAGTCAATAAATAAGTTACAAATAGATATAGAACTTAAACAAATAAGAGTATTGATTTGAAAAATGCTTTTTTTTCTCAACATAATCTCCCTGTACATTGAGGCACTTGTCTCATCGTTTCACAAGCCCCGGAAAACCAGCAGCATAAAATTCTTTGGGCTGCTGTTGGAAACAGGCAGTGACTTCCCTACAGAAGGCAAACTATAGGCACTATAGCCACTGCTAATGGTTGTTCACATGGCATGGCCTACCTCATAATGCATGACAGGTTAAGTTTTCACAAAGTCTGTGCACGATGGGTGCTGCGCATGCTGACCCCACAACACAAAATGCAAAGAATGGGTCTGGTATTACAGCATCTCAATCGCTACCACAATGAAGTGCACGATATGCTAGTCCAAATTGTCACAGGTGATGGGTCTTTCTTCAAGTGACTTCCATTTGTTTGGCCCTCTTAGACATCATCTTTTCCCGACGATGAAGCTGTAGGAAGGGAATTCACCACCTGGTTCTGACAGCAGCCAAAAGAATTTTATACTGCTAGTTTTCAGGGGCTTGTGAAACGATGGGACAAGTGCCTCAACGTACAGGGAGATTATGTTGAGAAATAAAATCATTTTTGAAATCAGTACTCTTATTTGTTTAAGTTCTGTATCCATTTGTAACTTACTTAATGACTTACCCTCATATATTTATTTGTTCTAAGTTTATTACTTTGTAGTTTACATATAATTAAATCTAAGGATGATTTTGAGTTATGAATTTGGATGTTGAAAGGAGCTTATCTTAATGAAGTAGCCTGATATGGAGAAATGTTGTGCAAGGCCTTGGATGTGGATTAATTTGGAACAACTCAAGCAAGGGAACATGGTAGTGAGATTTGGATTTTCAAATGCCAGGAGCCAGTGGGTCACATTCATTGCAAGCAGAATTGAGAGAATTAGCACAGTATAAGCTTTTTTTAGATGTGAGATTCTCATGTTGCTGACTATGAAGAGTAATTGCTTCTGGGTTGTAACAGCATGCAGTTCAGAGACGACATTTTGAGGAACACATTACCTTCATCATCAGGGTGAAAGAATAAGCCAAGCATAAAATTAGTGAAAGCAGGCAGAGATACTGACAACATTGTAAAATAAACCACAAAAATTAGTAACTAGTTAGGCCGTGCAAAATGTGTTTAAACAAAATTTATATAGGTAAAGGTATGTTTGGTGAAATTCCCATTTAGAATAGTCTGATATAAGCATATGCCTTATTCCCGTTGCTTTTCAACGTGATTTTCAAGTTTGCTTTTGGATTCACTGTTAGGAAGGTTGAAGAGATTTCAGGAACGACTGGCATCATGTACTCAGTTAATTACAATAGTAACATGGGGAAAGTTCCAAGAGAAAGGCATTTAAAAGAGAAATTCTAAAAATTGTATATATATGCGCACACTTTCTTATTTTTAAGGGATGTCTTTGTGACGTGAGATAGTTATGAAACAACTGCTCTTAGGTGAAGTAAGCATGTGCAACTTTAGGTTACATCCTTATGTGGTCTTTCTTGTGTTAATATTGCACTATTAATTGTAAGTTTTCGTGAGCTTCACGTCCTTCCATTTTTTTGTGTTCTATTTTCTGTGAGAGAACATATTGGCATGTGAAGTATATTTTTTTGTAATACTGTATGTATCTTTTTATTTTTCAGTTACTAGTACGATACTGCCTACTCCGAATGCTAGTAAAGAATGGGAAATTCATTTAGAAATAGAAAAGCTCCTAGAGAAGATCAACAAACTAGAATCAGGTATAACATTAAAATCAGCATAGTTATGAAACATTTGATATGTGATGATTTCGGTTATTTGTTTTTCAGCATGTCAAAAATTTTTGTTCGGAAGGGAAGAGAAACCCCCAGTTAATGTAAATGTTAAGCATAAACAATTTGGACAGACGAGAAATTGAAGAAACTTGAGTCTTTCAAATTGTGTTATGTACACAGTATGTCGAGGTTCTGTTAGGACTGTGTTCATTAAACATACAAGACATGACTTATTTTCAAAATTTCACTCTTCTTATTCAAAATAGTCTCCTTCTCAATCAATACCTAGCTGGAATTGATAGAAAAGTTTTCAAAAGCAGTCACTGTACTTATTTTGTGGAATCGCATTTAAAACTGCGGTACATTCCCTTTGGATGTCCTGAATGGTGTCGTGACGGTCTCCTTTCATCACCGACTTAACTTTTGGGAACAACCAGAAATCTGCTGGAGCCAAATCTGGTGAATACAGAGGATGACCAAGGACTGTGATTCCTTTCTGGCCAAAAAATTGTGCATGATATTCGATTTGTGGGGTGGGTCATTGTTGTGGAGGAGCAACCAGAAAACTTGCTCTTGATATTCAGGTCGAATTCGAAGAATTGTTGCCCACAAAGATTGAGGACTCCAAGATAATCAGAATTCACTGTTTGACCTTCTGGCAGAAATTCCTTTGGAATCAAAGGAAATGGTTAGCAGTATCTTTACTCGACTCTTTTGCATGTGCACTTTCTTTGGTTTTGGCTTCTTTGGGCTCAACAATGCTGCACTCTGCCACTTTGTGAGAGGCTCATATTGAAAACACCATGTCTCATCACCAGTAACAATCAATTTTGTAAATTTTGTATCACTTTGGGCCAACTGTAACCTGTCTTTGCAGTGTTCCACTCTGGCATGTTTTTCATCACCTGATAGCACGTGCGGTAGAAACCGCGCACAGATCTTCCATTTGCCAAAATCCTCGGTCAAAATTTGATGCACAGTACTCTTTGGTATTCCCAAAACCTCCTCGATGAGTCTTGCAGAAACACATCTGTCTGATGCAAGGATTTTGGTCACTTTTTTCATATTTTTTTTCAGTGCAACTTGTTCTCGGCTTTGATCCATGTGGAGCGTCTTCAATGTCCTCCCTGCCATCACGAAATACAGCATACCATCTAAAAATGTTCGAGCGACTCAAGCAATCACTACTGTACACACTTTTTATCATTTCATATGCTTCTCCGGCTGTTTTGCCTAACATCAAACAAAATTTGATGTTGCCTCTCTGTTCAAGCGCTATTTTCCGACAAGCATCAGAACAGTACTGTTACATTCAAGGTCAGAACACATGATGCAGTGATGCTTGCACTTTGAAATTATAGACAGCCACAGCTGAAACTTCAATAATCTTAATGCCACAACTCTCCAACAGATGGCATTGCAGGACAAAATTTAAAAAAATGAGTCCTAATGGATTCTGGACACGCCATGTATAAGTTATATTGCCATAATTTTGTACCTGTCATTATGATGTACCTTGTACAACTTCTAACAAGTATATAGGCTGTTAAATGTTAAGCTTTTTAGGCTGCTTTCAATGCCCTGAGCTATGTTGTGCTACAAAGCATATTTACCTTAATCAACTGATGTTCCTATTTAGCTTTACCAGCCTCACCACTGAAGGATCCCATCCCATTGGATATTGTCACTTGTTAGAGAGACTCTTGATGGGGTTTGGATTGGAGATTGGATTTATTGACCACTTACAGGTCATAACTTCAAATAACTGTAACACTTGCTAATTTCCACACTTTAGCAATCACTACAGCACACATTAAGTCTTTTCAGCCTGCTGTATGTTCACGCGTCGTTTTCTGGTAATGGGTGCTAACAGCAGGAATTCTTCAGCTGCACCGACCAAGCATTCTCTTCACAGACTCCCTTACAACTGACTAACTTCTAAACTTCCCTGACTCCTAAACTTGTCTTAGTTAAAAGATCTCAGCTCGGACTGCTTATAAAACACTGTTCATTGTTGCACTCCTGTCATTTCCATGGGAACATATTTATTTGCAAAGGCATTACCCAGTATTGGCTGCGTATACTTGGTTATTAAGAATGTGTTGCCTAGCAACAAATGATGTTTTGTTGTTTGTTTTGAGGTCGTTATCCAGTAACAAATCTACACACTACAGTTTTGTATATATGATAGCAGATGTGGTTGGCCCCATATCTTCCCAGTCTTGGTCAGGAGATGCAGGGACTGTCATAATATACTCAAGTGCTTTTGTTCTTCAAGCATTTTCCATACTTTATTTTTTAAACATGATCGTAAGTAAGTGCTGTGTTTCAGAGAATAGATGTATAAAGTAATTTATTCACACAAATTATGTTTTATTCTATTGGCAGTTTATTGACAGTAGATGAATATCTTCATGTTTATCATCATCTTTCTTTTTTCTTCCCCCTTCCAGGATGATATGTTTTCCTGGATCAGCCCAAAACAGTTAACAGTTAAGAAGAAAGCAGTCTTCTGGGATTTGGCACCGTGTATATGTGGTGTTAACCGACGTTTCGGAGGAACGTATCGCCCCCATCTTCAGGGTAGAAGAAAAAGTATAAGAATTCTGCAAGCGACAACACCGTGAGAAACGGTAAAGCAGACTGGGACCTGATCGACCGCATCACCAGTGAGAAGGCTTTACGCATCGCTGATGACATAAGAGCCAGGCACTGCAAGAAGTTTCGGTGGTTGCATGAGGCCCAGCACCCACCCGGCCCACCTGACAGCAAGAAGACAGTGGTCAACTTGAGTGATGTGCCACTGGATGAAGCGGCCTTCTCGGCCCTGAGCAAAGGCCTCAACTTTGCGGTGGCTCCGAAGTCCGTTCCCATCAAGGATATCCTGTGCGGGGTGGAGAAAGTGATAATGGCCCTGCCTGTAGAGACTGCGGAGGAGATCCGACAGGAGACGGTCAGGATTCTGAAGAACTCCCACAAGCCAAATGACAATCTGACTGGTGCTGAGAGAAGAGCCCTTCGGTCCTTAAAAGCCAATGAGGCGCTCACCGTCCTTCCGGCTGACAAGGGTAATGCGGCAGTGGTACTGGATACGTCCGACTACAACCGGAAGATCACCGCTGTCTTGGAGGATAAGGCTTACAGGAAGTTGAAGAAGGATCCTACTGATGCCATAGAGCGGAAGACTGTCCTTCTTCTGAAAAAGTCCCCGATTGCTGAGGAGGTCTGCCAACAGCTACGACCTCAAGGTTCCAGGCCACCTAGACTCTACGGGTTGCCGAAAATCCACAATAATTTTATGGTCTGCTTTACCGTTTCTCACGGTGTTGTCACTTGCAGAATTCTTATACTTTTTCTTCTACCCTGAAGATGGGGGCGATACGTTCCTCCGAAACGTCGGTTAACACCACATATACACAGTGCCAAATCCCAGAAGACTGCTTTCTTCATAGTCACCGCCGTGAAAGCCTCAAATCTTACAGTTAACAGTTAGTTATACAGAAATCCAGTCAAGAAACTTTGTGCTTTTATGGAGCCTAAATGATTAAGTTTTCACAAAAATACCTGAAAGTGAACCATGTTCTAGACCAGTTAAATCAAGTCCACAGCTTTGCACTTTGTTCCTTCGAGAATACATTTTTATATTGTCTTACCATCTATTTCAGGTCTTCCAAATTATCTTATTCTTTCACCTTTTTCCAGGCTTCATTTCATATATGCATTTCTTAATTTTCTTACATATGATGTGTTCTGCATGTCTCACTAATCCCATCAAATTTACTTTATTAATTCTAACAATTTCAAGTGAAGAACAGAAATTTTGCTCTTTGGTATATCATTTTATGAAGTTCTCAGCACCCACATCCAAAACAATATCACACCATGTGGCCCTTCTTATTATATGTGTAATTTTATCACTAACAAACTCCACTTTTTTTTTAGCTAATCTGATTCTTTTGTATATGAGAAAGCCTGTCCCCTAAGTGATAATTATCCTTTTCTTTACTATGGAGAAAATAATGTGTTTTCTGATTTTGCTTCTAAAACTGGAATGTAACTAGTAAGATCAGCAATGATGACGTGGAGATTGGAGAGCATAATTTTCCATGATTTACATCGTTTTCTTCCAGATATGAAGATTCCAATTTCAGACCGAGACACTCGCATTGAAGAATTCATTAACTGGATGAAGGAGAATGGAGCTGAAATTGATGGCATAAAAATTGCACAGTTCCCAGGCTATGGGTATGGCATCAAAGCAGAAAAAAATTTTGCACAGGGTGATCTGTTGATTGCAGTCCCTCGAAAGGTGATGCTGACCACTGAGAATGTTGGTGATTCATTGTTAGGTATGTTTATGGTGTTTTGTTATTGCAAGTACATCTTTACACAGATAATGATAATCTGGTGATATAAAAACTGTAGGACCTGTAACTTGGGAAGTAACTTTTAGATTTTAATTTATTTTTGCTTGAAAGTTGATTGATGATGAGCTGTATTGACTTGATACAGTTATTGACTTTTTGGACATTGTCAATAATTTTGTTTTTTATTTAAGAGCAACATTTCGGAAGCCTGGATTCTGTCGCCATCCTCAGGTAAAAGCCTACTCTGTTGGACCCAACAGATACAGCTAGTACCTATCTCAGGAGAGAGGGACTAGCTCAATCGATTGGGTCCAGTTGAGTAGGCTTTTACCTGAGGATGGTGACAGAGTCCAGTCTCTGAAGTGTTTTTAAATAAAAGAAACAGGATGCTGGATGAAAAAAAAGTCAATAATTGTGTTAATAGAAAATCACGGACTTTTAGATCTTATTTGTAATGGCTTGGGTAACCAGACATTCTTAATAAAGAATATAATAGTTAGCATAATTGAATGACAAACTACCATGAAGGTACATTTTATATAAGGAATGTCATATCAAGTAGTATTCTCAGAATGGATTAATGGCATGGGATAGTGCACTCAGTATAGCAACTGGCTACAGGCTAAACAACAAGGGTAAGTAAAAAAAAAGTAAAGCTATCCCCGTACCAGGCCGTGAAGGCCCATAGGATTGTGAGACGTTGAGGTTCCCACATTATCTAGACAATCAGCTCAAAGATGGCGGTAAGGTTGTCAGCCCTACGCGCCAGCCGCGCTTTACTCCCCAGGAAAATTATTTAATTAATTCCTGGTACTCATTTCTGTTAGAGGCTGAGTAAACCCCAGGGCCTAGTGTGGCTGGAAAGATTAGGTCAACTGAAAAAATCCAGTGACCTCATCAGGATTTGAACCCACGACCTTCCGGCTTGTAGTATAGCTCCTCAACCACTATGCTATCGCGTGCCCCTAAACAACAAGGGTTGGGTTCTGAATTCTGGTAGGGTCAAGAATTTTCTCCACATGGTCCAGACTGGTTATGTGGCCTACCTGGCCTCCTATCCAGTGCGTACTGTGGGCTCCTTCGCTGGGGGTAAAGCAGCCAGGGCTTGAAGGTGACAACACCAACTAGTACCAAGGTCAAGGAAACGTGGATCTGTACATCTACTCCCTTATACACCTTCATGGCATAGTACTTAATTAGTTAAGCACTGGGATATCTTTGCTCTTTTTTTTTTATGGCTGTTAATGGCATACATACAAGGTTATTATGCAGTAAACTCTCAGTTATCTGCATGTATGTGGAATGGAGTGTGCTTCTTACATGAATCTGCCAGTTGCATGAGAGAAATTATTATAGAAAGTGCAATGTATTAATTTTCTGTTTAATCTTAATATGCCTTAAATGAAGAGTGTTGCCTGTATATTGATCACAATTTCTCCATCTTAGGCATGAAGGAATCGCTTGGAAATGAGAACTTTGCAAATTGTCTGTTGCATATCACAAGTTAGAGCTAGAGTTAAAGTGTACAAACAAAAGAGTATTTTTAAGTTAGTACTGCTTTAAATTTAACTTTTTTAATGAGTGACCCTTGTTAAATTTTCAATAATTGTACGTAAACCTTATTTATTGTATATTGCATTAATGGCACATGAGCATGGTACATTTAGCCAAGATTCTTAGGCTTGTATGTCCAGTTGAAATAAGGAAATGTATTTTACCAATGGAAAGAATCTGGTACTATACCTATTATAGAAAAAGGGAAAAAAGTAATTTCAAATGAATCTGCTTTGGCATACTCCATAACATATTTTGGACTAATGTTCTGCAGGAATCCATTAATTAAACTATTTGCAAAAAGTGGCCTTGGCCTCCTGACATTTCTTGTTTCTTTCTTATTGATAATGTCTTAATGACTATAGAAGATACATAAAAGGTAAGGTAAAGTTCTCACTGTGCTTAACTAATTAAGCATTATGCCATGAAGACATGTGGGGGGTTGTGAATGTATAGATCCATTTATTCTTGACTTTGGCACTAGTTATAGGTCAGCTTCACACGCTGGTCACTTTACCCCCAGTACCCATTGGATAGGAGGTTGCGTGGACCCCAGAGCCAGTCTGGACGACATGGAGAAGAGAAAATTCTTGACCCTACCAGGACTCAAACTCCGACCCCTTGTCGTCCAGCCTGTAGCCAGTTGCTATAGCAATTGTGCTATCACGGCTCCCGTAGAAGATACATAATGATAAATCAGTGCATTTGACGTCAAGCAGGTTTTGAGAATTCAATTAAATTGACCCTAACTTTGTTTTAGCATATGGTACAGTTTTTGTAACTGAATGTGGTCTGTATTCTTTGTGTTCTGTACAGGTCCTCTGATGCGTACGGATCCAATGCTACAGCATATGCCCAATGTGGCCTTGTCTTTGCTGTTGCTAATAGAGAAGTTCAAACCTGACTCATTTTGGAAACCTTATATTGCAGTTCTCCCAGCAGAGTACACCACTGTGCTGTACTTCAAAACTAATGAACTACAGGAGTTGAAGGGATCTCCCTCCCTAGGTGAGTGGGTGGTATGATGTTGTACATTCATAGTTAGGATCAGACATAACCATTGCAACTTTTGTGTATTCATTCATAACTAACTTTGTTAACCGTTCAGCGTGGTTTGACGTGTATGTTTCGTCAGGTATTTAAATCGTCTGGGGGGGTTCGACATGTATGTTTCGTCCAGCTGCACACCTATGTTATAACGCCCATAATAATTGATGGTTTTGCTGTAGATTGTTAGATTTTTCGCTGGCCTGTTGTCAGGAGAACTATATTTAATGACACACAAGTTTAAGAGCGCTAAGTCATCGTTACATATGCCTGTCTTGCAGCAAATTCCTGTTGCTTCTGGTAGAACTTTCCTCCTTCAAGCTGTCATGAACGGCGTGTTTTCTTTCCTATGAAGTTATAAACAGCAGAGACGTGATATGTGCTGTGTTTATAATATCATATTGCCCTGAGCTGGCCACACTAACACACTCAATTATAATTCTTAGAAGAGGGATGTCCAAAAATTTATTCTTGCAACATCGATTGATTTCGCACAGTACATAGCACCCAGTTCTTAGAAAAACGCCACGAATTAAGGCAGAACACTATGGTCACCCCCTATGACGATACTGGTGTGTGTGGGGTGGGAAAAGAACTCATTCCTTCATGTATTATCGCTCCAGTTGACGCCATTTTATCGTACTGACCTTGGTGGTCGTTTCGAGGGATGACCATAAATATTTTTTTTGAGCCAGCTAAGCTCTGCTTTCGTGCACTACATACCAGCCAGTTCTTAGAATAACTTCATGAATTCTGTGGTCACCCCTATGACATCTACTGTCGCCAAAATGGATGGAATATCAAAGGCATAGCAACAACCCCTTGTTATGATAACTCGTAACGTTGAATTTACTGCAGCTGACCTGACTAGATAAACTGCTCACGGAAAGACATTTCCTTCAACTATACCCCTCACGGGGAAGAAGGCAAGGCCGCACAGAAGCTGTATGGTTAAAAAAAAGAGCAAAAGAAAAGATACACAATATTGGAGCGATGAATGTGGGGCACCGTTGGGTTACACGAATGCTTCAAGGCCTTCCTTACACTGCTCAAATTCTGAACCACCTGCTTCCTTTGACGAGATACCGGGTGCTCATATTATAAGGTAAGGTTATAAAAACCATCTTTTAAGATCATTTTAGTGAAAGTTTCATGCTTCAAGGCATACCATTCACTGCTCAAATACTAAACAACCTGCTACCATTGCCGAGATACAGGGCGCTCATATTATAAGGCAAGGTTATAAAACCACCTTTTAAGATCATTTTAGTGAAAGTTTCATGTTCTTATCTCATAGAATTTAAGAACAATGATGAATAAATCATTTTCGAGCAAAATTTAAATGGCCGGCTGAATATATTACCGCCGGAGACGCGGCCGCGGAATTTAAATGACCGCGCCAAAGGGTTAAGCAGAGCGTGTAGCATTCTGTGAAGCCAGGTGTTTATCATCATATTCATGAGACCCTGTCGCTGGTGCCTGCTGTAGTTAAATTAATCCAGTCCATATCTTCCCACCCAGTGGACTTAACGTCTATTTCAATATAATTGTTCCCTCAGTCTAGCTCTTCTTAGTGGTCTCTTCACTTCAGTTTTTGCAGTAAATGTTTTTTAGGCATTTCTCATCCTCTGGGTGCTGCATACTGAGGTTATCTCATCCTGTCACTGCTTGGTGAAGAGTGAAAATATGGAGCTCCTCATTATGCAGTTTTCTCCAGCCTCATATTACTTCCTTTCTGTAGGGTCCAGATTTTCTCCTTAGGTACTGTTCACAGATGTTTTCATATACAGGGGATGGACAAAAATATGGAAACACCCAACAAAAAACACATTACCGTGACTAATATGGTGTAGGACAACCTCTGGCTTGCAGAACTGCTTGCAGTCTCCTTGGAATGGATAAATAGAGGTCCTGTATGATTTGCAAGGGAATCTTGTACCATTCTTCCTGAAAAACATGGTAAGTTCTGTTATTGATGATGGAGGCGGATAGCGCGCACGCAGATTGCTCTCCAAAACAGACCACAAAGGCTCAATAATATTGATATCTGGCGATTGTGGGGACCATGGCAGATGTGACACTTCATCTTCATTCTCAGAAAACCAGTCCTGGACGATGTGAGCTATGTGAACACAGGCATTGTTGGCTTGGTAAATGGCATCACCATTAGGGAACAAAGTTTCCACCATGGGATGGACCTGGTCGCCCAGAATGGTCACATAGTCATTGGCAGTGACGTGACCTTGCAGGGTAATAATGGGTCCAACAGAATACCACGATATATCTGCCCATACCATGATCGAACCCCCGCCATGTTTCACTCTTGGCAGCAAACAATCTGGATCGTAAGCTTGGGATGGCGTTCTCCAGACGTAAACTCGGCCAGAAGTCAGAAACAGTGTGAACGTGGACTCATCTGACCAAATGACCATCTTCCATTGCTCCATAGGCCAGGTTTTATGACTTTGGGACCACACTGCCCTCTTAGTGGCATTTTGATCAGTGATAAGTGGCTTTGGAATTGCAGCTCGTGCAGAAATACCCTGCTTGTGGAGTTCCCTTCATACTGCTTTGGTGCTGACAGGGTACGTGAGCGTGACATTCAGTTCAGCAGTCACTTTTGCAGCTGTAGTCTTCTTATTTTTCATCACAATCCTACACAAAGTTCATCTGTCTCCATCACTCAACACATTTCCATCCACGCTGGTGTTTATCAGATGCGGTTTTTTCAGTCCTCCTGTATGCGGTCATAATCTTGGATACTGTGCCTCGCGAAACACCAGAAACCTCGGCTACCTTGGTTATGGAAGCACCCACCATATGGGCCCCAACAATTTGCCCATGTTTGAATTCTGTTAGCTCTGACGTGATGCAAAAAAAATTGCACAGAACACTGTCTCGACAACAAATGAAGTTTGCAACATATTGTGGAGGTTGTCCAGGTAGTGGTGTTGGGTAGATACGACAGCATGACCTACAAATGTCGCTAAAATAAACACTTCAATTCAGGCATGCATTTCACGAGGTGTTTCCATATTTTTGTCCATCCCCTGTATAAGATCTAAAAGTTTGTGATGGTGGTACTTTTGTACTATAATTTCACCAAAACCTTAATTTTTGAAAAAGTAAACAAGTTGAATGTGAAACTGAAAGATTAGCATCAAGTTTCTGGACCAAATACTGTGAAGTCATTGCTTCTTGTTTGATAGCAGAGTTGAGGAAATTTCACTCCTCACATATACATAGGGCATTTTACAGAGATAAAATGAAGTCATACAGGTGAGAGGACTGTGCTCACATATTGTGAGAGAACTTTTCCAAGTGGAACATTATTTGTTTGTTTAATTACATTCATGAAATTGATGCATCTCTGATTGTATACGTGCAATTTACTTGTTTTAGAACCAGCGCTGAAGCAATGCCGCAACATTGCCAGGCAATATGCGTACTTCAGTAACCTATTTCAGGTGAGTGTTCTATACACATATACAGTAATGTTTGATAACCAAACACTGGAGTGAGGTCTTGGGATTCTTGGTCCATCCTGGTAATTGTGGAGATAGTATCTTTAATAGGCCAGGATTACTTTCACATCCATCACAGTTCATTATTCATAATCATCAAAGTTTGATGAGAAATATAAAAACTGTATGCTTTCAAGACTGGATTTGAAAATGTTTGAGGTCCCCTGGAACTAGTTAGTTAGTTAGTTAGTTAGTTAGTTAGTTAGTTATTGGAGAGGGTGGGTTTCCCCATGCACTGAGACCTGTATTGGTCCATTGTGCATCCCTCTATGATTTCTACCAGTCTCTATATCCTATCGGTACTGGTGCTTACCATCAGTCCCGCCCAGCCAGCGAGACTGGCTCTACTAGCTGAGAGGTATCTATAATGCTTCCCCCATCTACCAGAGGTATTAGAGACTGCTGTTGGGTGGGAAACGTCCGTTAATTTGGCTCAGTGACCTCCTTTGGAGATATGAGGTTCTTTTACGTGCTGTAAAGCTACGACATGTGACCCACGGTTTAAAGTCCCTCCCGGAGGACTTGTTCCCTGAATTTTTCTGCCCTTAAAAATTCGATGACCTCCGCCGGGTATTTGAACCTGCGTACTACGAGTCATGAGGTGGGAACGTTACCTCTAGACTGTGGAGGCCGCTTCCCCTGGAACTAACTTCATGAAGCAGAATTTTCTTGTGAAGCTAATAGTCGCTCGTCTAGTGAAGAAATTCCTCGACTTATATAGAACTCAAAGTTTTATTGTGTTCACATGAGTCTGCCACTGGACCCTATTATGAGATAAATCCAGTTCATATCCACTCCCCATTTTTTCCTTAAGATACGGCTTATTCTACCACCTACACATAGTTCTTGTAAGTTAATCGTTGTTCTTCATTAATATTGTAATGTAGATGGACAGAGCATTGCTAGGTAGCTGACTGTTAAACACTTCGCGACCAAATACATGTAAGGTAATAATAGGAGTTCTTTGTGGTCTGTGCCTCATGGCCTTTGAAAGACTTAAAACCCTTGAACTCTGGAAAGTGTCTTTGAATGTAATTCTAGTACTCAAGGAGTTAAATGTGTTACATATTTCATAGATGAATGTTTTATTGCTGTAATATGCAGAAAATGAACTAAAAGTGTACTGCTTTTGTTCTCTGATCTTAATATTTAAGGTTGACTTTCTAAATATTTGTTGCAAAAATATTTGTGGGAAGCATGCTGTGACACTATAGTTAAGTTGATTTTGGTAAGTGACTGGTACATGTAAGTTGCATTTCTGGAGCCCTACATGAAATGGGCCACAGCTGCATCCTGCATCTTACCTAATTATTGCTGTACTGTCATTCAGTGATGATGATGCATCTTGTTGATAAATGATAGTAAAATAAAGCAATGAACAAAGAGATTGCAACAGAAAAAATAAAAATGTTTGTCTAACAGAAATGGATAACTTAAAAAGAAACTGCAAATTTTATGAGTTCCACTCTAAGTTGGATGTTACATTTAGTTTTTGCAGGTTGCACATGAAAAATTTGGTAGAGGCCTTGCGACGAGCTGATCACTCGCCCAAGGAGTCCTACCATTTGTGTAAGATCTAGAAAAACCGAAGTGAACGGAGTTCAAGGAGGTAGGCCTAGGCCCACTAGGGCTGTAGTGCCAAGGAAGAAAAAGAAAACATGAAAAATTTGTTTCAGAGACTGGAATAGAAATGGATAATTCCTTAGATCAGGTTACCTCTATATATGTGTGTGTGTGTGTGTTGGGGGGCATGTGTAGTAGGGAATCAAGCTTTGATGTGTTTTGGCCCATTTTAAGCTTTGATTTTAGAACATTAGATATCCAGTTCTGATGTATGAATACTTATGTTTTAGCAATCAACCGACCCCGGTATTGCTTCACTGCGAGAAGTTTTCACATATGAGCAGTATTGGTGAGTACAGAACAGTTACGTTGCTTATTGAGTCAGTCACTGAATGACAAACTTTTGCATAGTTAAAATGTAAAATAACCAATGGAAGGTATGTGGTTCATGTAGCTCATGCTACTTGTGGGAAATTTCTAGGTGCTAGAATAATTATTTGTGTGTTATCCTTAATGTTACTACAGTAACACACTCCATGGAGAAACTTAGAGTCTCTCGGCTAGTCAAGAAATATCTCACATCATATGGAATCTCAGTTTTCGAAAGCCTGCAGCTGAACCTTTCATTAGCTTCGTAAATTCAGTCAGTATTCTTAAACTTCGTTTCATCTGAGATACATTTTAATACTATCCTATCATCAGTGTACCTTCAGATTTTGGAACAAAAATTTTGCAGGCACTTCTCTTAACTATCAAGCCTTTAACACAAAACTAGCATTAAGCCACCAAGTTGAACTAAGGATTTGTGAAGCCCAAGTTATGAAATAACCATAACAAGTTCATAGAAATATTTTTATGACTGATAAGCTTGTCTTCGGGTTTGCGAGTGTGATTTTAAATGTGAATCAAGGTAGATCAGAATGCATTTTACTTCTGATATGTGTTGTTGTACTGTTACACATTAGCCCAAAGATTAAATTAGTGACAAGTTCAGAAGTATTGGTATATTTATGTCACATTTATATTTATATTTATGCTGTATGAAGTATGAATGTTTTTGAACACTTCCTGCCTTCCGTGCTCTGTAGAATGCGGAAGTGCTGTCCACATGGTCTGTATTTTCCGTGCCCTGTTGAGTGCAAATTCACTGAAAATTTATACTTTTTTTTCTGGATGTAAAGCTTTGAAAGATTTTTTTGGTGGGAGGCCAGGAACTCATTCTGACATTGCTTTAGGCCCTTTAAAATTAATTCTTTGAAGAACTATCTCTGTCATTCCCAGTGAATGATTAAACAGAAACAGAGAGGAATAACAGCTCTTAACCAGAATAGGGCGTATGTATCAAGTATAACTACCTCCTCTACACAATACTATGGAACCAACCTGACAGTTTCAGTAGTCTGCCACTTTACTTGAAAACAATTTGGGTTAAAATGACATGAAAATAATGAGCACTATTTCAGCTCACTGATAATAAAATAAGTAATGCTGCCCTATTTTATTTTATTTTTTTCCTCTGGTATATGACAAATCCTTGAGCTGGGAGAGCTTAGTCAGTATAGGGGCTGTCAAAAGGCTGTTCAACCTCTGCTTGATTCATTGCAGCAGGGGACATTTTTCTTTTCATCACCATGCCCAGACCAGCTATAATACTGGTGCAGTCTCCTACCCAATGAGTAGTGGAGGTAAAGTGGCTGAATTGTGGAGCTATACCTCCACTCATTCATTCATCTCCATAGCATGGTACTGAATTAAGCTCAGGGACAGCTTTATCTTATGTACATTATATACAGAGAATCCACTCAGTTGTTGAAGTAACCTGTATAAAAATTGTGTCAGAACAATAACAAGTACAAGAAGGAAAAGGAATTAATACAATCTGATTTCAACGCATGATGAAGAAATATATAATTATTTTATTATTTATTCACACATTCTGTTTCATCTGCTGATTTCAGATAGTGCATTGAAAATTTGATACTTTGCTTTGTCAGTATTAAAATGTCACCAGTGACATAATGTTCTTAACATATGGAGAAAGCAGTTAAATAAATATCATATGCAGATATAGTGAGAGTTATAATGTGTTCTCAGATGTACAATTTACTGTTCATGCTTTACAGTTTTATAGTGTAAGAACCTTGTGTACTGAATTGAGGCAGACTCAGTCTACTTGTTACACATATTTGCAAACTTACACACATATTGCACTGTTTCATTGCAGCTGAGTAGTTTTCATTTCATTCAAATATGCTCATGCACGTGATGGAAAGTAACATTTCACATTTGGATTCTTTAACCCTTGTCTTTGATACTTTTTATAGTTATTTTGGTGATTAGGGAATTCTGTAAAGTACACAGTTTTATTGTCTCTTGAATTTGTAGCTTTTGGGTGAAGTGACTTGTGTAGTCGGCGCACTTAGGTCTCATTGCTCGTCTCCAGGCATGACCATATGCATATGTCGTGTTCTAGTTCATCTTTTAGGTGGTTGAGTTTGAGCACTGTATGCAATGTATCTCTGGTTTTTACTTTTTATAATGTTGCATGCTGCTTATGTTGTCTTTCAAGGTTTGGTATTGTCACAAGAACTTATTTTAAAAACATTATTGTTCTCTGTTTCTAAGCATGCACTACATGTTTCTACTGTAAATGGTTATCATCAGATGTACACAGATGAGTCAGAAGTGTCTATATTGTAAATGCAAATTCGTTAGAGCAAAGAGTATATGAAAGTGTTTCTATTCTCTCCACATTTATGCACATTGTGGCATGATGGATGAATGCCAGAAATGCAGACCCAGAAAAGACAACCATTGCTACACAGCACTGTGGTAAACATTTTTCTGCTGTAATGAATTACCCTACAACAATAGAAGAATTGCTGGAATGTGTGTCTTTTTTGTGGTCCATGCCGAGCCTATATAAGGAGAACCAGTTGGAGTTTTTAGTTTGCCGAGAATGTCAGGGAGCTGCATTCATAGATTGGCTCTGGGAGTCGACAGCCAATGAGGACAGGAGCCATTGAACACAGAACTGAGGAATCTGCGTTGTTGGGAGTCATAACCTAGCAACGGCTAGCGAAGACAAAACTGAGAAGAATTAGTGTGTGCTACAGTGAATTATAAAGTGTGTAGATTAGCGATAGCATTATAATTATTTGTAGATGCTAGTTCTAAGTGTTCAGTAAATCCACTTAGCAATTCAGACCCTGTGTCTGCTCACTAAAACACGTGACAGTATTTTATATTTTAGAAGATTTTGGTTCCAGTATATACATAGTCTACTGTATTGTGAATATCACATGATGATGACCATTTACATTTGAAATGTATAGTGTGAACTTAGAAATAAAGATAGTCTTTTATGTCAATTTGTATGATGGTTAATCCAAATCCTTGGAAATAGTTAATGCTTATTCATCAGATTATGATTAATTGATTGTTTTACTATGATTATAAAGCAAATAATTTTTAACAACCAGCAGCGTGCTGTAATATATCAGGTAAATATTTGTATCATTTGTGTTGGATTGCTCTTTGGAAGTGAGAAAATATGGCGCACTCTTTCAGTAGACCAGTTTTCTGTCAGAGTATGCCTACAGATTAGACACAAGTAATAAAAGTAAGTAAAAAATAAAGTAAAGCTATCCCTGTAACAGGCCGCGAAGGCCCATAGGGTTGTGAGACGTTGAGGGTCCCACATTATCTAGACAATCAGCTCAAAGATGGCAGTAAGGTTGTCAGCCTTACACGCCAATGACCTCATTGGGACTTGAACCTGCGACCTTCCGGCTTGTAGCATAGCCCCTCAACCAACTGTGCTACAGCGTGCCCCTCAACACAAGTAATAGTAGTATAATAGTCTATATAAAGGTATTAGCTATCTTCACTTATGCCTGAGTAAGACGTATCTATTTGTATCTGAGTGTTTTTCGTATTGTTCTCCATAAATAATAGCGTCTTGACCTTGTGTCCTGGTTGTCATCATCACAGTCAAGAGATATATCCGTTTTATACAGGTCTTGTGTGTTAACCATCACAGGTCTAAGACTTTGACGAACGTTAATTTCTTCTGGTTGCATTAAAATAGGGCTATGGGCCCTTGCATTTACAATTCCATCTACAAACCGTCTCCTGGCCTGCTTCTGCCTCCATCGGCAAACTACAAAAATTGCTAGGAAGCCTAAAATGGCCAGTCCCAATATGGCAGAACTTACAATGAAAGTAGACTTGACATCTGTTGTCAGTCCACTGTCTGATTCAGGGTCATCTATATCTTCTCTGTACAGAATATCAAACTGCTTGTCTTCATCGCTGTGAACTTGGATAGGTCCCTTCATGCTCCTGACTCCAGTACTTGCCACTTCACGCACTTGACCCATGTTTTCCACTAAAAGTATGCTATGCGCAATATCATTGTTTGTCAGTGGAGTAGCTGATGCTGGAGTTGTGAGTCTTGAGGTGATGAAGGGTCTGCGCCCAGAACTAAAGTATGGATTGGTGGGGCCAAAGGAGTGGATGGTGTCCGGTTGTTGGTAAGATATCTTCCATGTGTACGAACTAGGATCACTAGGTTTCAGGGTTGGGACGTGAGGGTTGTGTAGATGGGGATTGGGCTGGAAGGAAGGCAATGTGTCAGGAACCTGAGGTTCACGCTGCAGTGTTTGCTCTGAATATTCAGAACCTTCTGTGGAATGGGTTTCACTGTTTACCTGTTCCTCTGTTGATTTGAATGGTGTTTGTTGGTTCATTTCTTGATCTGAAGGTTTACTGTCTGATTCCTCTAAGAAACTAAACATTTCCTGAATGCTTGGAATTCCAGTTTCATTTATTTGTTGGAGATTTCTGACATTCTTAACTTCATTGTTAATTATCGCATGATTTGGTTCAGTTTCATATGCTTCAGACATGTTGGCGTCAGTGGGTTGATAGACTGGTTGTCTAGATTCTCTGAATATATCTGCAAGATGCTGTTGGCTTGATCCTCTTTCACGATGCTCAATTAATTCAGCTAAAGTCATGTTACGAGATGCTAGAATTTTTGCTAAACGGACAGATCCGGAGTCTGTCTTCAAAAACTCTAGGATCTCGTCTCTTGCGCTTGTGGTTTTTGCTCTGCTCTTCTCTTGTGTTCTTTGTGACTGGCTATAGAGTGGTTCAGGTTGGAATGGGCTGATTTTAAGTAAAGATTGATCCTTGTTTTCCTCAACTGTAGCAGAATTTTTTTCTGTTAAGTCAATTATTTGACCGCTGAGAAGTGACTCATTGTGTTGAACTTCAGGAGACACAGGTTGGAGTTGCCTTATTGCTGACTCTGCAGTCCCATCTGTGGGAATGACAGTTTTGGGT